CGGGTCAGCTTGAGCCGCTGGATCGCCAGTTGACCGAAGGACACTGCTCTGTTCGCGCGCCAATGGTCAATCAAGCGCCAATGCAGCGCGCCTTGCCGACTTCCTTCGCCGAAAGGTATCCACCACAGCGCCGGCACCGTCATCGGATGCGCCGCAGCCAACGAGCAGTCCAACGCCCGAGCAGGGTGGCGATGGCAATTGTCTTCACATGATGGGTGCATGAGCTTGAGGGTGGTAGAGCACGGCCAAGGGTCTCCATGCTCGTTGGTTTTGCATTAGCTTGCGCCAGACGGATCGACAGATCAAGCGCGAGAGCTGAGCGAGTGAGCTACGAATGTGTTCAAGGTGGCAAGTCACGGTCGAGTGGCGACTCGCAACCGCACTCGCGATGGCCAAGTTTCACTTCTTGAGCCTCGTCGTTCCCCCAAGCATCTTCTCTCTTCCACACACTTTGACCATTCTCTCGTCAAGTGAAACGCTGGTCGCTCTCCTTGATTCATTTTCAACTTCATCTTTGCAGCATCCTCGTCAGGTGGTCAACCAGCTATGAAAGCTCGCAGCGAAGCGCGGGGCGGCTCTGACAGCCCATCGCCAATCAGCAAGCAACGGCGCTGGTTCAGAAGAACAGTCTTGACGGGGCTCTATGCTTCTTTGCTTCCGCTTATTTTGTTCACTCTGTACAAGCATCACTTATCGAGCATGCAAAAGGAGATCGCTGGAAAGGGAAGCTGGAACCCTGCTCCCAACACAGGCACGATGATGGAAAAGCGAGCTTTCGACATTCATGTGGGTAGCGGAGGCGAGGCTCGACCTGGGACGTGCCACCGAGCTTGAATTGCTGACATTTAAGAGCGGGTCCACGCAACAAGGGCAACTGGCTCCCTGTGGAGATCAATTGGAATGACAGAGTCTCCCACAGCACTCATCAGAATGCCATTACCGCTGCAGTCAATTCCTGGGCGCGGCACAACGAGCCCACCATGCAGGCATTTACCGTGGGTAGAGTATTTGTTCTGCCTTTCCAATCAGTAGGCCTAAAATTCTTGACCTGTCTTGCAGCTTACTCATGGATTTCGCCCTGGCGAGGGCAAGCACCTAACGACAGAGGCAGACCCAGGAACGCCAATGTTTGCAATGGGCTTCGCTTATGACCATCAAGGCTACCCCCTCAAGACGCCCTTCAAGACTGCGCCTGGTCATGGCCTACAGAATTATGTGGTCTACCCTCAAGCTGGCAGAAGGTGGACATATCAGCGCCACAATCTCAGAGTCGATCTGACTCCCGACGGAAGACTACCCGAAGGTCACTTTCCCTCCCAAGACCGTGGGAGGGCACGCAACAGGCCTACGAAATTGTTCGTATCTCGCTACTGCCCACTCTCCGCGCCTCTGCTGACTCTTTCCAAGTCCAATACACAGCTCGCTAAGGGGCCGGAGAAGATCTCAGAACAGCCCCACGGTCACCCGCACGAACCACGCTGAAGGGTCTGCTGCCCAGGCACAGCAATCTCCCTCAAACCTGCCTGACCGTTCATCGACTCGGTTCAGACTTTTTGGTAAAGAAATTTCATCTAGCGAGCAGGCTGGGCCCTCTGCACGACCGCAAGTTGCGTCGCAATTCAATGAAGAGGTCAAAGCAAATCGAACTCCCAAAAGCATTCGACTCTTTGGCGCTGAAGTCCCGATTGGCAGTCACGGTGGGCCAGTCGGCCCGCAAAAGAAGGTCCGCGCAGCGGAGAATGATGACAAGGCCCCAGCGCCGAAGCGCATCCGGCTTTTCGGGACAGACCTGCCCGCTCATGAAGGCGGTCGCTCTCCCGCCCAGCCTCCAAATCGCCGCTCTCTTCCTGCCGATCAGAGCATTATGCGAAGAGGCGGAGCTGAGCTTGAGAAGATCGGTAGAAGCATCAAGACAGAAGTCTTGCTGACTCGCACCTTACCCAAAGAGCTCGCTTCGGCAAGCGAACAGGCAGTCAAAAATGTGGGTAATGACCCGCGATGGGAGGTGTCGCGGTTCGGCGTCCATAAGACCAGCCCGCTGAGTTGCAACCACCCGCAGGAACCCGTCGAGGTGACGTTTCACCAAGCTGTCGAAGGCGATTACCAAAGGAACGCAATCAGGCACGCCGTTCAGCAGTTCAAAGAGAACCATGCACCAGAGCTGCACAGAATCAAGGTGCGTCAGACTCGGTAGCGACGCGCCTAGTGAGAAGATTCTGAGGTCCGTTGCCTGGCATGTCTGCCTCGCGTCAGATCTCTAGAGGTTTTCAGCGTGCTCCCTGGCTGGCGAAGTCGCGCTACAAGGATGGACACGTGTTTGCACAAGGCCGAGCGCACAACGCAGAAGGGAAAGCCTTGCCTGGCCACAATCTCATACCGGGCGAGGGTAGGCTCGAGTACCCGATTTACTTGGCTCCCGGACAACGCTATACCCAAAAGGCGCGCGGTAGGCAAGACAGAGAGCTTGTGGGAACAGGCAAAGCTTGGCCAGAGCACCCACCTGTGCCGTCCCATGAGCGGCGTCCCGTCCCTGACCCTCGTGGTGGATGGAACAGAGGCTGGACGCAGCTCAGCAATGTTCAATCGGATGGCACGTCTCGGCGAGGCTGGAATACTGGAGACGGAAAAATCAAATGGTTTCAAGGAGGACGCAAGAAGAGGTTGGCTTCGTTGACTCAATGGGAGGTGACACGCTCTTCGCAAAGGTTGCGCGTGCTTGGAGACTCTTCATCCCAAAGCGATCCGTCTGTGACGAGCGCTTCAAACAGAAAGCGACCACTGGGTTTGGATTTGAACAAGACTCCTCCTCCTTCGCCTGACCACCGACGGCGCTCTGTCCGAATCGAGAAGCGCGGCTTTGATGCAGCGGTGAGTATCCAGGTTCATAAATCTTCCATCCGCTACACGCTGACAAGAAGAAGCTCCATCGCGTAGGGCAATTGGAAGGACGTCGAAATTTATTACAACAAGGTCACCGATCCTGGGCACCAAGAAGTCCTGAAAGAGGCGATCAACGCGTGGGCCAAGGAGAAAGAGCCAACGATGAGTCGGATCAAGCTCAAGCACGGCCTCAAGGATGTCCATAATCGCAGTCTTGGCTCCTTGTCAGAGGCCACCATCCGGCACGTGTACGCCGCTGGCATTGCTTGGGACGACAAGGCTCAACGCCTGCCAGGGCACTATCGCGTGCCTAGCGACAGCACCGGGACCGTCTTCTTCCCCAAGACGCATTATCCGATCTACCTGCAGAAGGGACAGAATTACGACTATCACATTGTTGGAAAACATCACATGAAAGTGACGGGAGATGGAACAGTGCCACCAGATCACATACCAGTTTCTGCAGAAGAGCGTGCGCCTATCTCATGGACTCCTGGTAATCACGACAGGCCCTGGCTAAAGTCTTTAACCAAGTCTACGCCCTCTGGCAGTAAGGCCAGGCAAGAGAGAGAAGATCCTCCGACCAAGGCGGCGTTTAAAGCACGGAGAAAGTTCTGGGAGAACTCTGGTGTTGCATCTGAGAGTCATGGCGGCGCTGCTTTCAAGCCAAAGCTAAGAAAGAGACCTTTAAAGGAGCCCCAGATGATGGAGGCAGACGCGCACTACGTTCCGCCCGCAGTTGTGGACACTTCTGGTGGCGTTGCGGAACGCCTCATAGCAGAGTCACACCGCGCGCAGACGAGTGAAATGCCGTCATCTTCAGCGACATTGCATAGGTCGCCGTCTTCGCCTACATCGATCGAGAGGCCGTTGACCGCTTCGTCTGTGGAGCTGTCAGTTGAGAAAACAGGTACATCTGTGTCGAGTCGAAAGCCGTCCGCCGCCTCGTCGGGACAGCAGACACCCGGGTCTGAGTTCAGGAACAGAACGCCCCGATCCACGTCGCCGACTTCGTTCCCAAGCCCTGCCACGATTCCCGCGAGTGCAGCTACTCCCGAGATCGTCGACCATCTGCGAAGCGTTCCCAAGCGGCCACGTACGCCTCGTTACCTCGTGGCTGAGGAGCCTGCCGAGCAAGGCCATGTGCAACGCAGTGGCAGCTCAAGTGTTGATGGGCCCTTGCGTGCCACTCCAGTCAGTCCGACGCCTTCACAACATGGACCCGACCATCAGTCGCACGGTGGCACACACCTGCGTCGGCGAGCACTTCCTCATGCTCATCCTGTCGATGATGTAAGCCTTGCGACTGGCGGGCCCTTTGCATTCAATTGACTCTTGCTCTGGCCTCCAGGATATCGCCGTACTATTTCAAGACAAGGTCAAAGGTAAGGAACACCAGCTCGCGCTCGCAGAGAGCGTACGACAAGCAGCTCTTTTCAATCCGGCTATTAAACAAATTACGGTCGGTGCAGCTGAGATTAAGCATCATGCCTCTACCCTGTCACGTATTGCTGAGTGCCGTTGTCCACCGTATCGCGTCCAGATCAAAGGAGGCTTTACTACGCCTCGAGCGGAAAATGAGAGGGGCCGCCTCTTCGCCTTGGGTGTGGCATTCGACAAATTTGGTCAAAAGCTAAAAGGACCACGTCAAGTTCCGGGTGCAGATCCGAAACTGTACCCGATCTACCTCGGCAAGGATGTACCACATGTCTACACGCCAGATGTGAATCGTTGGGTGCGCCAGCCTTTCGTCGGCACGGGAATGTACCCAACAGAACATGTGCGATCCGGATCCGCTCCTGGAGATGTTTGGAACAGGCATAAATTTGACGGCCCACGATCTGCACTGATCTTGGCTGAGAAGGGTATTCCTATCAAGGGTAGACACATGAAGATTTCCCGCAACGTTCCATACGGCGTCGTGCACGACAGTCATCCTCCGACTCCTACCAAAGACGCGCTATGGCTCCAGGTGAGCTCTGCAGGATGAAATGTGGCTACATCTCGTCATCACTGCACGTTTGTCGCTGAATGAAAGCCTTCCTCCCGGCAAAACTAGCACCACAAGCACACTGTTTCGGAGCCTGCCAGCAATCCTGCTAGCCAACCGAGTGCGCGGGAAGGCGCGCAATCTGCCAGTGGTGGCAAGAATCGTGACTTAAGCACTGCTGGCGATAGAGCGCGCTCGAGTCAGTCGAAGGAGGGCGCTCATGTAGACGGCGCTCGCTCCGATGCTTCCATTGAGGAATCTGCTGCGACCGCTAACCATCGCGCGAGTAGTACGATTGAGCGCTCCGGTCCAGCTAGCGCCGGCGACAGCGCTGCCTCAGCTCACGCTCATGAGCGCTCCGGTCCGGCTAGTGCAGGAGAGAGCGCTCGATCGATCAACGTTGACGAGCAACATACTGCAGGCGACGCCGCCCCGTCGCCGCATCACACGCGTCAAGGCCCAAATCTCTTGCCAGACGACACGAGAGTGCCTAAGCGAGCCCGCACGGGGAAGTACAAGTTCATTGACCTCAACAAATCCCCCGAGACTGCAGATGACACTTCGGCCTGAGATCGAGGCGTTCATAGCTCTTGTCGCAGCGGCATCGGAGGAAGACGTGCGTATCGCAGTGTCTTCTGATCACTGCCTGCAAGCACCTGTAGTCGCTTCAGGGGTCAGGGTTAGTGTAGATGATTCGAGCGAGCCAGCACTGGCGAACAAATGCCATTTTTTTCTCGCTGCGGACCGCACACCAAGAGCGGTTTTCGTGTGACTGCAGCCACGCCAACATGGCTCTGCAAGAGCGGAAAGATGCGTCAAGTGAGATTGACAAACGCGAGATCCTCGTGCGGGCAGTGAAGTCTGAGACATTCGAGCCTACAAACGTCTGCATCCACGGAAAATCCTCGCAGTGGGATTCTGCGCTGATCTACTTGCGGGCTGGACGAAGGAGTTGGACTCCCTTCAGCACGTCGTGCGGGTAAAACTCTTTGCCCGCCATCTCCTCGAGGAACATGTGGCGATGGTATGGCGAACGGGTGTAGCCTTTCCCTTGAGCCTTTGTCATGAGTATACCGCCCCTAAGCTTGCCATACAAACGCTCTCCGGGCATCTTCTCTTTTTCGTGCACCGCAGTGTCTCGCGAGGGAATGTAGCGGAGCCCACCATCCGGTGTGGCAGCGTAGTAGGACCCTGCCAATCGAAATTCTTGAAGATGATAGCCTTTGGGCATGCTATGCGGTACCCATTCTTCGTCGCTGTGAACTTTCCATTGGCCTTCGTCTTTGAGCGTGTCGAGCTCCTTGTGGGGTTGAAGGCTCGCTGGATGCTCTACGCCCCCTGTGGGATGCGGCTCTTCCAGGATGCCAGGAAAGGCCAAGGCACTGCTTTTGCGTTTGAGAGCATTGGGCTTCAAGGGAGTCCTTGGGCTTGCAAAGCCCTTGGAATTGGATGAGCTCATGGAGCCGTCCGATTTGAAGCTGGATGAGCCCTCCGACGAATATTTGGATGAGTCGTCCGACTTGAAAGTGGACGAGTCCTGAGATGAGAAGCTGGAAGATCCCGCTGGCAGAAAATGTTTCAAGTTTTCCTTCTCATTCGGCGTTGGCGTCCTACGAACGAGGGCGACGCTGCTTTGAGCGGCGAGTGGAGCGACTGAACGACAGTCGATTCTCGCCGCTGCGAGCAGCACGAGGATCAAAAGCGCTTGGATGGTGGAGCTCGACATGTCTCCCGAGAGTAATGTGTTGAGCACGCTGTAGGTTGCCAATCGGAGCGAAAGTTTCCGCGAATTGGTGCTGGGGAGCACTTCACTTGTCGCTCAACACTGCACTTGCCCCACGTGGTCTGCAGTCCAAAAGGCACTTTCACGAGAAAGTTGGTTGCGACTGCGCTTGGATGGTGAGTTTCTCAGCCTGTCAGGGCAAACGCACGGGTCTTTATACCTTTTGATCAAGTCGAGGAGAAGATGGCAGGCATTCACACGACGAGGTGGACACCTCTCCTAAACGTAAGCCTGACCCAGAACCCAGACGGTCGGTCATGAGCTGCGAATTTCTTGGGCAAGTCCACGTTTGTCGGTCAATTACGTCACATGCGACACCCTTCAACCATGGTCGATGTGATGTCTCAGAAGAGCTGACCTCGGCCCGATCCCCGTGCTTCGTGAGAAACCCGCTCACAGAGTGAGACCCTAGGGCCTGCTGTGCCTTTTCCCGCTTGCCCTCATCTCAGACTCGCTCGCTGTCCGGTCATTTAGCAGTGACCCGAGGAAAAGAAGCTTCACACTGCCCGCAAAAGTGCTCGAATACAAAGCCTTTCGAACCCTAACGGCCAACACTCCAACCTCGGCGCGCGCACCTGACCAGGCAAGTGCTATGGTCCCCGGTCCGTCGGCGTAAAAGACGCGCGCCAAGCTCAATCACGAATGACGAATCATGGTATCGCGAACGCGACATTTCTCAAACTGGGCACGATCTGCCGCCATGTTGGACCCCCTTTTTTTGCACATCGCTTGACCGCGTCTAGCGTAACCCCAAGGGTTTTCTCGAGCCCTTCTTTCACCGAGACAGACCAGAGATTTATCCCAAGGGATTAGGAACAGCAGCAATACGACGCCAAAAAGCCTGCGCACGCAGTCCGCAACGTCAGATAAAAGCAATGTGCAAGTCGCTGCTTTCCTCTTGTCGCAATGTCCGCTCCGCATGCGCACCCACTTGCCTGTCACGTCGACGCCTCGCACAGCCACTCTGTCATCTTGCGGCGTTGAATGGATCAGCCGCGGATCTGCAAGTTTTTGCGAATGAGGTTGAGTCATTAGACCGAGACACGCTCCTTGCAGGCCGGGAGCGTCAGAACACTGAAGCGAGAACAAAATGGGATGGATACATGTTGCGGAGAGATGATTGGTGGCAATGCAGGTCAGGTCAAGTCGAGTCGAGTCGAGTCGAGTCGTGTCGTGTCGTGTCGTAGTCAAGGTCCTCCTGCGCGTTTTCTCTTCATCACGACGTAACAATGACGCGCGGGTGATACAGTTTTAGAAGACCGCCGACCGATCGTCATGTGCCTCGTGTGCGAGCATCGAGTTGCGTAAGCCTCGTCCTGAGACTTGCAGACGAGCGACTGCTAGTCTCGGGGCGCAATGCGCAAAAGAGGCTGTGCACATTGCGGTCTCTCTCAACACGGTGTTTAGGAGGCGTTGAACGGAAGACCAGCTTCTATCGTCCGGGGTATGTTTGGGAAGGATTGACGATGCGGCAAACGTGTGGCATTTTCGTCACTGATATTGTTCGAGCTGCCTGGGCGTCGAGAAGAGTGTAGCAAGACCGGCATATTAGGGTGAGGTCGGAAAAAAGAGGCTTGTCGTCGCCCAGACATTCGTCCCGAGCGTTGGATGCGGGCGTGTCCACAAGAGAGCTGCGGTCGACCCGCGAGCCACACTCGACATTATACCGTCAGCGGTGGATTGCGGTCACTAACAGCAACCTCCCCAGCCACCTCTTCTTGAGGAGACGTAATGTGACCCGCCAGACGAAGCGCGCCCAGCAGTAGCAGCATCCGACTCGTCTCTGAGCATGATGGAGTCCCTATCCCTCCTCCTCCTCTCCGCCTCGATTTCTGCTTTCCTCTCGACGAGCCTGCCAGCGATGTTTACAAACACATCTTCCACCGCCTCTCCCGCTTTCGCAGATACTTCCGTCACCTCGACGCTTTCCCAGCTGGAAAGCATACGCCCCAAAGAAGAGGTCTGCACGTTCGAAGCGCCGCCGCCCGCTTCCGAAGATCCCGCGGATCCCGACGTGCCGCTGCTAGCGTTCGAGTTGGCCCCTGCCGCCGCCCCCGCGGGAACAGCAGAAGAGACGCCCATGCGCGAAAAGCCTATTCTGGAGGAGCTCAATCCGAGATTTCCCAGACCCAAGCGGGAAGGAGAAGCTGGCGATTGGCTAGCTGGAAAGTCATTGCTCGCGCCTACAGCATGAGCATCCGGTGCGGTCCAACCCGCGACCGCATCGCGAGCCTCGTCCAGGTAGACTTCCCGGTGCGCAGGAGCCAAGTCCAGCTTGGAGCCAACGACGTGAATGATGAGGTCTGACGTCACATTTTTTCTCAGCTCCTCGATCCACGTCTTGACATCTTGGAACGACGCCGCATTGGTAATGTCGTAGACGATGACGGCGGCGTTGGACCCTCGATAGTACATTGGCGCCATGCTCCTGAACCTTTCTTGCCCTGCAGTGTCCCACAATTGCAAGCGGACCTTTGTGCCATCCACGACGAGCTTCTGCGTCAAGAAGCTGGCGCCGATGGTGCTGGGTATGGAGGATGCCTGAAAAGTGCCAGTGATGTAGCGATGGACCAGCGATGTCTTGCCAACGCCTGACCGGTCGAATTGAGGGAGCAGTGAGCGGACCGAACACACTTTCTTGCACAGCACTCGCACACTCACCTTGTGCACCGAGGATCACGACTTTCAGGTCCACACCTCCTCCCACCACTGTCGCTCCAGCCGCCGTCTGGCGCACATTTCGGCCCTGTCTAGTCGGCGCTCTGGCCAAGCTGGGTTCTCGCATCAGCGGCGCTCGCCGTTCGCCTTCGCCTAACAAGTTGGGAAGGGATGACGAGGCTTTGGAAGATGAATAAGATGACTGCGCGTGCCAAGATGGCTTGACAAGCGCGTCATCCACCAACGGCAGGCCGACTGCTGGTGTTGCCAGCGAAGAGGTGCCCATGGTGTGCCTGGAAGAAGATGCCGCGCGCATGCACCCATCCTGACTGACAGCTGCCAGATTCGGAGAGGAGGGGGATCCTGCGGAACGTGGTGGTGAGTCGTGACCATCCGAATGCAGCTTCGTGCTGCGTGATCGAGGGGACGATGAAGGGAGGAGAGGAGAAGCTGCGCTGGAGCTGAGACTGGCGGCTACCAAGGCAGTCTTGGCATCTTGCGACGAGGGTGATGTGAGGGGCGACGCTACCACTGTCGTAGCAGAAGTGGAAGCCAGCGATGCCGACATGGCGGGCAACTGCGGAGCAGAGTGGTGCTGCCTGCGTGCCAGTGGATCGATTCGATTCGGTGCGATGCGATGCTCCCGGCCGTCGTGAGAGCAGTGGAGCAGGATGTATGCTCGCAAAGTGGAAGCAGGATGCTCACGCCCTCGCGCGTGATGGGCGTCCACACTTTTATGGCGTGCCGCTTGTCGTCTGTTAAGCGGTTTTCAAATGGCAGCAGGCAGGCGTGCGTGCGTGCGTGCGTGCGTGCGTGTGTGTGTGTATGCGCTGCTGTTGTGCGACGAAGAAGGACAAGCAGGTGGATGCGTGCGTTGTTGGGACGTGGACGCCAGCTTGCAATGAGTCGCACCTACTCCCTTGCACAACCGTCTGAGTGCGGCCAGCTTGAATGTACGCCGCGCCTCCACTCTCACTCGGAATTCACTCGACTATCCTAGCTGATGGCTGGCTGGCTGGCTGGCCGGCTGTCTGAGAGACTGCTAGTTTTTGGCGCAGAGGCTGCTCTTCGATGGTGAAGAGGTGAGTGGGCGATGGCGAAGGAGCAGCGCAGATGGAGTGAGATGGAGCCTGACAGCGCGCGCTGGGTGATCGTTGCCGTGTAGGCGTGTGCGTGTGCGGTCCACGCTGATCCGCGTCTGCAGCGTCTGCAGGCGAAAGAGGAAGAGCAATGACGTTGCTCAGGGCGAGTTGAGAGCAATAGCAAGGTGTGAATCGGGAGCAGTCAGAAGATATAAAGATATGTCTTGGCCCCGCGCGTGAGTGAGACTGTCCGATCAAGCTTGGATGATCGATCGAGTGCAGTCTAGTGAGTGAGAGCTGCAGCAAGATGGAGCGGCTCGGCGCGGGGAGGGTGATTCAAGCCGCGATCGAGTGATTGGACGATGGAAGCGACGAGATGTGCAGATCCAGACAATGGATGAGGAGAGAGCGGCGTGAGTGGAGAGCAGCATGCCCTGCACAATCACAATCGGTAGGGTGCGATGCGAGCAATGAAGCGACAAGGAGGTGAGGAGAGCGTATGTGTATAGCAGCCATTTGACCTGCATGGCGGCGACGCATGACCGATCCACTTGACTCACACTCACACTTACTCACACTCACAACTCACAACTTGCTTTGTTGCCTGCCTCACATCAATAAGACTGTGCAAGTGCACTCACCCCCTCGTGACTCGTGACTCGCGAGGTCGCCCGCGCGCGCGCGCACCTCCTATTTCAACGTGGCTGACTGTGACTGTGACTGTGACTGTGACTGTGACTGTGACTGTCGTCGCCCAGCATCTATCTACATGCAGCAAGCAGCAGCTGCTGCTGCTGCTGGCTGCTCACTTGAAGCGAATCCTATCCAAATCTTAATCTTGATTCTGAATTCAATTACGATCCCATTCAGCTGCTTGTCTTACCCGTCTGACCGCATGCATGCAGCATGTGGGCGTGCACCGGTATATACGTCCAGCAGCGAGCGCCTCGCTCTTTCCTTTCTCTCTTGCCCCCATCCTCCTTCCACACATTCAAGATTGTCTGCCATCAGTCATGCTTCTTCAGCCCCAATTTGAATGTACAGCCGTGGCGCGCCCAACAGTCACAATGTGAATGTGATGGCTGATTCATCGCGCCACACAATGGAAAAAAGACTCACGACGACAGATCATCATCGCAAGCGGGCTATGGATGTACAATCGAATGAGTTTGGTCTGCTCATCCTGAAACTTGTAGCGAATTTGCGCAAACGAAGCATTGAGCGCGAGTCTTGAGTACATTACAGCAAAGCAAGCGCAGGGCAACTGTGACGTGATCAGACTCGTGACTCTTACTGCGACTGCGACTGCGACTGCGACTGCGTGCGGATGGTTGAGTCAGGTTGATAGATGGCAGAGTCATCTATCTGCAGCATGCAGTCACAGTCAAAGTGCTGACTGCAGCGATGTCCAGATGTGCAAACAAAGCAAAGCGTTACGGCACGGCACGGCACGGCACGCATGCGGTCCCTGCTTGAGCTGCTGGTCTGTCCGATGGAGCAAGCGTGCGGCGTGGCGTGACATTCATTGTCAAGTCAACACTGTGACTCACGATTACCTACTCCTCAACCTTTACCTACCGCAACAAGACTTGTCGGCGCGTACTGTATGAGAGGGCTCGCGCTAGCGATTACGAGGGCACGCAAGCAAGCAAGCGGCCGAAGCAGCAGTCACTAGTCCACACTTTACTTTTTGCCTCGTGGTCATTCGTGACTCTAGCTTCATCAGTCAAGCAGCACCCGCGCCTCAACAACAATGTGAATCCAAGCAGTCCCTTGCCCATCGGGGCTATTCTCCGCCATGCAACAAGTAAGACGAATGCGGGGAAAAAACGTACCGCACCGCACCGATACATGTCATGTCGGGCACATTTTCATGAGAGATCCGCAATCGCAACTTTGAATTCGCGTCGCGCACCTCGTGCAAGTAAAGCTTGTCAGCTCGCTCGCTCGCTCGGCCGGCCTTCGAAGCTCGAGTTGAATGGCTGAGGAGGAGGGCATATCGGTAATCACACTCATCCGACTCTACTCGTGGACTTTGGTGATCCGTTGCACGCGCGAGCGCCTCACGACCAACTCCGCACAACTCAGACGTACGCGATCGACGAGGCACATCACGTCGCGCATGAGCCGCGGGGGGGGGG